ACTTTAGTATCGAGCAATGGTAGATGTCTATCGAGGATGTGTGTGTGTTAGCGACAACAGATGTCACTCTATGACGCTAACTTTGCTCTCTATTTATTATTGGTTTTCTTCTCTTCTCTTTAATGTATCTTGTCTTGATCTTCTTCTGCTGTTTGTTTTTCTTTTGTGATTGGCCATCTTTTCCCTCTTTATCTTCTTTATTATTATATTCGTGGTTACTTGTTATTCTTGTTTTATTCTTTTCAAAATAAAGCATTTTAAACACAATAAGTCCTCAATACCATTATATGTTACGACAACAAAGGAAGGCAGGCAGTTTATGTTAGCTCTTTAACTTCTTAGCAGACCAAATATCATTAGTTCTACTATATATCCCCAAAACGAGAGTCTCAGAGTGTGGGTGTGGATGTGTATGGGTGTCAGTGTTACCGGTGCGGCTGTTAATTCCACATTTATCCATACGCATACCCACATCCACCCTTCATACTGCACCATCCCACACTCATAGATCCACGCTCCACCCTTTTCAGGTACGATTGATCAGTGATTGCTCTCTAGACTTGTATTCACCGAAGTATCCTAACCCGAGGATAACTATAAGCTGCCAGTCGACAGCGTTCTTGAATTATTTAAAAATACTGGAGCGTAGAATATTTTGAAGCACATACTGGAAATTTTTTCTTCATAGAAACGCTTTACATACTTCAGCAACATCAACATTTCATTGGTCATACATATCCAATTCTTATCTTTCAATAAGAAAAATAAAACTTCTATCTTTAAAGCCTCTCGTTTCCGTCTTTCTCTCTCGTTGTCACATTCAGCAACCAACACTGTAAAACGGGGACGGCTCATTTAAACATGGATGCAAAGCGTTTGCTCACGAAGAAGTGTAACTATTAATTGAAACAGCAAATCGCTGTACATCAGTAAGATCACAACCGTTTCGTTTTTGTGATACGCTCATTTTTCTTCGTTATAAAAGAATTGATTTGTAATAATATGGCGCGCGTTCCGCCAACTTGGTTTTCCCCGCTGAAATGATGTTTTTAGTACCCAGGGAACTTGATTTTGCAACTGAGTGTGAGTATGGATGTGCATGTGGATATAGACTAATGCCAATGCAACATAGTTGACCGTGGTTTGTGCACTGTATGAAGTCAATCAAGTTGAAAATGCCTTTGATGGAATGTCAAAGATTCAATCCAAATGATAAACTTCTGTTTTGCTTCTTTAAAGACAATCATTGATGTTATTAAATCTCTTCGATATTACTATCTTGTTTAACATAAATGATCAATACAGGGTGACAAATATTGTCTTTGAGAAATCCCACCTTATTCGTTTTGTTTCGATCTACGTAAATGTATCGCTCTCATTTTTTAGACAAAGTGCACGCTTCTGTTTCGCCTTTCGTGCATCAAAAAAACGAGTGAAAAGAAAATAACACGGTGGGATCCATCAGTTTGGTTAATATTGTAACGGACAAGTACTCGCAACAGTAAAATGCGCTGAACAGTAATGCAAGTTCAATTGTTGTGAAGTAGATGGTCATAATTCTACCACGCAAATATCGATCGTTAATAGTTGATTTATAACTCGATTTAGCCACTGTCAGTAGCATAGCTAGGGAGAGGCAAATGGGCAATTGCCCATTTCATTTTGAGCTCTGCCCATTGAAATTTTACTTTTCCAGATTTGTTCATTTTAATTTCGAATTAGATAATAACTGTATTTCTTTCTTCTATCTGGATCTCACATCCACTCTGCTTGTTTTTTCTGTAAAGAATAAAGAGAAGAAGAAGACAAAAATCACTTCCTATATTTGAATTTACGCATGTTTTTTTTCTTGCTCATCTGTATGTATGTGTACACTTTTCACCATTACAATTAAATTCTGAATTAGAAAGATGGTATAAAAAATGTCATGATTTGCTTAAAATGGATGATGATTTGAAGTAAAAAATGGTTAAATGAACTAATTAAAGAAACAGACAATGTATCTTATCCAAATGTTCGTTATTTATTAGTTTTCTTGGCAACATTGTCTGCACCAACAGCTTCTGCTGAAAGAAGTTTCAGTCAATTATCGAGAATTAAAAGTTATTATCGGGATACAATGAAGCAAAATAGACTAAACGGACTTGCTGCTGCAAATATTCATAAAGATCTTGATATAAATCCCGATAAAATATTGAAATTTTATACACAAATGTATCATCGTCGTCTTGACTTTGGTGCTTTAATTTTAAAATACAAATGTTATAAACAGAGACATTAAAAGAATAGACTAAAACACATCTGGCTCAGGCTTAAGATCTAAGTTTGCATATGTGATTAAAAGGACCTCATTTCATTTTCTTTTTGTGTTTTTTTCACGTTAACAGTAAGTACTTTTGGGCCACAAAAGTTTTGGTCCACCAGTAAAAACTTTGTCCATTTTGCCCATCATTGTTTTCTCGAACAAGAGAAGTTTGTCCATTGATCTAAAAATCCTGGCTACGCCACTGGTCACTGTGTAAGGAGTATTAAAATTAAAGGCATTAAAAGATGCCAAACAGTACGCACCTGTTCGTGTTTGTACGAGTCACATGAATCATATGCTGACTCTTTTATAATTAAATCCCCAGAAGCCGATATAGAAATGTGTTCTCAACATTTGCATCAAAAATCATCTACATACAATGTTATTCAATGGAGTTATAGTTTAATTAATCATACCTTATCTTTTTGTGGCAGAATTGGAATCACCTATTATATATACCACGGGTCTATATTGCATAGTGAAGTAGAAGCAGAATATTTCTTCTATGATATAGGGTCACAGAATAGAGAGAAAAACATTGTTTTGAATGGTTCATGTTTTGATGAAAAACCACTCAAATTTCAAGAATATTTATTTACCTGTTAGGCATCATATCAGCTTTTTTCACAATGTTTACTATGATTTTATGTTTATTGTGTTCTGCCAAGATTTTTTAAAGGCCTCGAATAATACACTGCAGGACTCCGATCGATGCCGGTAACTCTGTATATGTATATGTTTGTTGGCATATACTCAACAAAATCAGTAGTAAAAAAAGAATCTGTATAAAAACAATATAAAGATTCATGATTGCTCTTAATAGATTTTAAACAAATAAACATCGATTACACAAATACTTTTGAGTTGTAATAGAGAAAACAGAACAACTATTGATACTGGTAATCTATATTCGGAATAGTAAACCATACCAATACTATTCTTGTTTTTCTTGCTTCACATTTTATGTATACATTACGAGCAGTTTTATTTTTTTACTACACCTGAAATAATTTACTACTTGTTCTCTCGTTGTAAATCCATTTTCAAAATTTCTGACGCTTTCTTGTTATATAATATTGTGTTGTGTTAGTTTTTGCTTGATAAACAAGCGACACTACGAAAGCCGTCCGTAACTAATTCAAATTGTGAGAATCAGAATCAACATCAGTAAAACTCACACAATTGGAATTCGGTGCTCAGACTTTTTATAATTGTTGTTGAGTTCACTTTTTTTTTTCACAAAAACGATGAAGGAATATTCACAGCAGAATACAATCATCTATATTTTTGCCGTGTTTGTAATGTTTTAGACATTTTATCCTGTGTACTATCACAAAACTTGTTGTGATTTTCAGTATGGATGAATTTCATATAAAGAACTATGGTTGGGGTGAGTACAATCGAATCTATTCTAAGTGTATATATGACTCATACAAATAGTAAGAACAATTATGCTAGCATGTAACCAAGTAAAAACTTATCAAAAAGCGGCAAAACAGAAAACAAAAATCGTCTGAAACGATATTTTTTGGTGTTATAAGTGTCAGTAAAGAGCAACACCACTTGCTTTTTTCTCATCATATTCTCTAAATTGGATTAAGTTGAGAGAAGTGGTGAGTTGTTAGCTGAACTGACTTGCACTGTCGAGCCATTTCAAAAGATGGAAGTTTTCACACATAAGGACGTTTAGTTCGAAAGGTGTTCTACAACTTGGATCTATCGTTAACTTCCCGATATAGTTTAACATTTTTTCTAGAATATTTGAGCTTTAAATCTATTTCAGTAAAATATCTGAATCTCGAAAGTAGATGACTTAACGACTTCAAATGCTGTCCAACGATTTTGATATATTCTAGTCAATGAAAAAGTCCCATCATCACCTATGTACAAAATTTGAAATTCACTCACAGGCTTAATTCAAGAATGAAAAGAAAATCCTGTTATTATTTTTCAAATCGATGGGGAGCGTGAAGATTTAATTTAAAAAAAACGATAGATCAATAATCATCAAAATGGTTTTGTACTGAGACTAATTTCACAGGTTAACTCTCGCATCAGTCAAATATTGCTGAAAATGACCTAAAACAAATATAATCTGTTCTACTTTAGCCATGGATCAAGAACTCCAAAATTACGTTCGAACGTAATCAATAGGTTACATGGTTCTCTTGAATTCTTTGTCATATATGACAGTCAAATACAATTTTAAGTCATAGTCAATGCGACTATCAAACAGCTAGTTAGTTCCCTACAATTATCAATAGTCGACGGTTCGCCGTTGTAGTCAAACTAGATAGATCCAACCTCAAATTGCTTATTCATAAACTTTTCTACTCCATCATATTGACAATGAATAACGATGAGATATTTTCAAATAATCACATCTATCATATATTACAAAACTACGACAAAAGGAGCAAAACCATCTTGCAATTTTCGACAAAATGAAATTTCTGCTCGCTTTTGCCAACTGTTTTCTAACTACATTCACTTATGTTTTTTCTCGTTTCATGCTGGTAATACGGTTAGGTTTAAATTGCTAATGATAGTACGAGAGATAAAAATACTACGGAAACCAAATTGATTATGATCGAATAGTATGAACGACTATTTATCTCAAATAAGAAAGAGTATGTATGTCGTTAAATCATCAACAATTATTTCAGTGTGTCGCTTCTTGTTGGTCACTTTTCTAATGACTAGTGATCTAGTCGATAGTGGTCGTGTGGATTGGTCAGTGGAGAAAAACGCATCTTTCTGGAATGAACAAGCACGTGTGACGATTGAACAAATACTTCAACAAAAGCAGAATACACAAGTGGCAAAAAATGTTATCATATTTCTTGGTGATGGTATGGGTGTTTCAACGGTGACCGCTGGTAGAATTCGCAAAGGTCAAACCAATGGTCAACTGGGTGAGGACTATCTTAGCGAAATGGAACAGTTTCCTCACTTGGGTTTGGTCAAAACGTAAGTCTCCAGAATCGAATTTTAAACAATGGATATTGAAATTAACAGATTATTTTTCTATCTAGATACAACATCGATTATCAAACACCAGACTCAGCAGGAACAGCAACTGCTTTTTTGTGTGGTGTCAAAACAAACCTAGGTACCATTGGAGTCGATGGGCGAGCAGTACGGGGCGATTGTCCCAGTTCGATTGGTACAAATGTGGACAGTATTCTTGATTGGGCACAAACACTAGGTGAATTCTTTTGATTCGGAAAGTCTATGGAAACTTTTCTATTCTGTGTTGTTTGAAGGAAAAAAGGTGGGCATCGTTACTACCACTCGCATCACTCACGCAACACCGGCTGCAGCCTTTGCCCACACACCTGAACGTAATTGGGAAGGCTTTGATGGTCAAAATTTCAATGCAACCCATTTAGCACAAGGCTGTAAAGATATCGCTTATCAGCTAATCATTCGGAACCCACCAATCGATCTACTCTTGGGTGGTGGCCGTCGATTTTTTTATCCGACAACATCGTTCGATGTTGAATATCCTTCCATCCATGGCTCTCGCACCGATAATCGATCTCTTATCGACGAGTTCTGGAAGGGGCAATACATATGGAATATGACTGGAATGAACAGCTTTCAGTTAGGCTCACCGAAACCATTGTTAGGTCTCTTCGAACCCGATCATATGCGATACGAATTCGATCGAGAGCAGAGCGGCAATGACGAACCAAGTTTATCACGTATGACTCAATTTGCCATTGAACATTTCCTGAAATTTGATCAAGGCTTTTTTCTTCTTGTGGAAGGTGGACGCATTGATCTTGCACATCATGATACATTGGCAAGAATTGCACTTGATGAATTCGTTGAGTTCGATAATGCTATCGGGCAAGCCAAACGAACCCTACAGGCCAATGGAGCTCTCGATAATTCTCTCATTGTTGTGACAGCTGATCATTCACATGTGTTTACATTTGGTACTTATTCAGTACGTGGTTCAAATATTTTGGGTTTTGGTTCAGTGGAACAAGTGAATGTGAGTGATATTGATCATGCACCAGTGAACATCATTGCCTATGGCAATGGACCTAATTTTAATTCATCTCGAAATGCAACCTATTTATATTCAATAAACATGAATTCGACTGACTATCGTTCGCCGACAGCTCTACCTCTGGTTTCTGAAACCCACGGTGGTGAAGATGTTCCGGTGTATGCTTATGGACCATGGAGTCATTTGTTTATTGGCACACTTGAACAACATACAATAGCACACAAAATGGCTTATTCAGCATGCTGGGGTATCTACAAAGCCCGAGATGGATGCTCAAAAGTATCTTCATCTCAATGCTCGACCAGCAATTCACTAGTGGTTTTGTTTTTCCTAATCTCTCTGCTGAATTGTGCTTTTTGTACGATGAGCGAGTAGACCAATCGAATTCTAACTTGAAAAAAATTATGTTTATCGATATTTCGATTTTCAGAATATCACGAATGTTTTCTCTTTCGGTCATCATTTTTATGGGTGTGGGGTGGGTATCGCCGTGGGTGTGATTGTGAATCCTTCCTTAATTCGCACCCCCATCATTAGTTGGAAAATGATACATTTTCACACCAGTTATGTTAAGTTCATTAACTTCCCACACCCCCCCCCCCCCCCCACCCCCCCCCGCGCCGCAATAAGGACTAGTACGAATGAATAGGACGAGCGCATTGAAG